ACCAGAGACTCAACTGACTTCCTTTTTATAGTACTTTCTAACTGAATGTGCGGGACTACGGTTGCTACGATATTCTAGATATGGCGGTATATTTTCATGGAAGAAACTATTCACAAGGTTGCTGAAAGCGCATTGACAGCCCCCGAACGGTTTCGCTGTTCATCAGATAAGCGCGATTCCGGCAGGTAGGCAGTTCCGTTAACTGTATGATATAGCTGAACCCATAATTGCATGCAGTCGGCGAAACACACTCATTTTCACACGAATTTGGTCTTAACAACAGACCTAAGTGAATGACAACTGTATCTTTCGTTCATTATTTTCTTCAAATAAAAGTGTCTCACGAAGGCAGCGTGACGTCTCATTTGGTTTCGAAATTTAAGGTATCAACCTGTATTCTTGGCAAGACTACTAATATAAAATACTAGAGATTCAGGACGGATTCGGTTAGATCTCTCGTTGAAGTCAAATTAGTTTTCATATAAGTAAATTTCGCTTTGTTACAGTGAGACGGGGATAGCAACATCTCGTCAAATACACTGGGCTTTTACCAGATGGCTGCTGATCTGGTGAGGGAGCCTTGAGGTTGGCTTTTATGTGTTTGGATACTAAACGAAGAGACTTAGTCAGATTCAACACTAACGGCAAGACAACAAAACCACTTGGCAAATGCGGGTAACGGATTGACAGCCACCCGATCAATCACCACGTTTCTCAGAAAATTTTTGCCTGGTAAGAAACGACGAGCAAAGTTATGATCCATACTACAACGTTAAGAACGAACCTAAAAAACTGCCGGCAAATAGCAACCCTAATAAAAAGCATCTCTGTCGACCTAATGTTACTGAGTTTATCATTAAACTCTGTTTCATCCAGGTAACAAGCCCCAGATTCGAAAGAGAGTTATTAACCAGGTGACTGAATGGCCTGCACAGATAGTCCCGATGTCAGCCGTCTATATTCGCTCCATGTAAGCCGATGTTAAAATAGTGTGGGTCTCTGGTGCAAAATACGACGTCATCCACTGTTTTGTCTATACTGGGGCACCTCGGTTTTTGACCCTGTGGTAATCACAAACATGATTCACCGAAAATCCTTGCATTTTTAACGCGAACTGCAGTTAGTAAGGTTACAGCATCTAAAAAAGCATTACCCACTAATTCTATAACGGAGATCTTTACTGCGGTAATATTTTATCTAGTATAATGCCTGTTCTAGACCACTTAGATTGCCCTATACTCCTTGATGAAATTCATCCCCATGGAGCAAAATTATCAATCTACGACAGCACAAAAGAGTAACGAGTGAAGACATTTATACGTTCATTACTTTTATCTTGACCGTTATCCATGGATATACAAGCCAGCCGGATATATGGAATACTCAATTCAAGCGGAGCGTAACATGTCATCGGTCCTTTACAAAGTTATTTGAAGCAATCAAAAGCAAACAGTAATAACTAGCATTTTGAAAGAAGGTACTACATGCTGTTGTGCTAAAGAGTTGAATATGATGAAGCAGCACCCTGCACCAGACGGGTAGCCGCTTCCGTTTTTCTAATTTCTTCAAATTGGCTTGGAAGTTGCGAAAGCACAGTTACTAAAAACCCTCCTGGATAGCTGGTTTATATCACAGATAATACGTATGAAGCCTGTGAAAAGCAAACTGGCATACCCATAGATTAAAAGAGATTACTTAACCACACAAAAACTTGTTTTTTTTGCTTTGCATGAGTCGTCTTTAGTATGGTGATTTTTGTTACGTACAAAAGTGAAGCACCTCAATCCAAGTTTTTTTTGCATGTCAGTAGCTCACGCTGTCCATCCGGTTGTTCTCTTTTTGGTCAAAGGACGTTCTTATAGTAAGCATTAACTGGGTGGCTTTGGTGTGCCAGGTGTACTTTCAGATATCCCGGCAGGCTTCGTCAACAGTGTTGCCTCTGTCCTGTTTTCGACATTGGCGACAGTGGATTCCCAACCCTAACCATAACAAAAATGACTTTCGGAGTTTCGGATTGAAGTCAGATCGATCAGGGTTAGAAATATTCAGTCACATGTGGTGTAGAAAACATGGAGCTTTTCTAATTATAAAGTCAAAACACAGCGTAGTGGAACAAGTTGTTGTAATCCGGCGTTTCGGTTGTCGTGGGAGACCTTTCTCAAGGTTTTCAAAAATTGATTTCTACAACTGATTGTAGAAATTCTTGAGAAACATTGGGTAACAACAAACCACTCCACTACTCTGTGTTTTTACTCTGTAATAAAACATTTCCATATTCCAGGCAACTGATAATAACACGGAAACCACTTTTTGCGTTTATATGACAGCGTACTTATGAGCCTAATTTTTCTAGTCAAAAGAAGTGGCTTGTTCAAACGTATGCATTTACCTAGCCAATAAAACTACTCGTTAACCCAATGATTCTCAGACCCCCCGGGAGATTTTTCTAGCGGTATTGAATTTTAGCTTCAGTCTCATCAAGAGGTGTGACATCTATGAATGGCAAAATGTCTTTTTGGTGTGCAGAAGGTTTTCTAACTATAAAGTCAAAACACAGCGTAACGGAACAGGTTTTTGTAATCCGACGTCTCGGTTGCCGTTAGTGACCTTTCTCAAGGATTTCTACACTCAACTGAATACAATTCAAATGCAGCGACATTTGAGTCCACTACCAAAATGCAATTTCGGGAATGAACCAACAGAAAACTGGCGCACGCGATATAGTCACCGGAAAATATTTCAAATGAACAGAAAAACCTGATTCTTTCGTATGAAATCCACACAACTTTGCTGAAGGCGCCAGTTTTGAACTGAGGATAGCCATGTGTGTTCATCAAACTTCCAGTTGACCAAAAACAGTAAACAGCAACTTTACCCAGGCTGGAGTGGAAGTCCAATTTATGATTTGTTCGAGGTATATGGTGATGGTACTGAGTTCCTCCAAGGCTAACTTCAGCAGCTGGTCGGAAAACGAGATGCATTTGAGCTGCGACATCTGAACTTACTTAGATTCTTGGACCCAAATAACTCTTCTTTCGTCTCGTTTTTAGTTGATGGTAGAAATCCTTAAGAAAGATAACCCACGGCAACCGAAACGCTGGATTATAACAACTTATTCCAATACGCTGTGTTTTGAGCTTATCATTAAAAAACTCCATGAAAATGACTCCTTTCTCTCACATGCACGTTTACAAAGTTTGTTTTGTTAAATTTTTTTGGATTCGTCCTGATGCTAATCATATCAAACCAGAAATTCTCCATAGCCTACCTTATATTCGTTGTTATACTTGTCCAGAGATAATTTTCTTGTTTTTTTCTTTTTTTGCTGTGTTGTGCATTCACAAAATGCGAAGGTTTTTCGGCTGACAATTTATCCTGGCAATTCATCCAATGAAGGACATGTAACGGATGGTTCACTGGCTAGGTAAATAATCTAAACTATTGATTACTTCCATTTGCTAAGTGGATCGGCTCTAAGCCTCAGCAGGAGGCCTCGTGGCGTTTATAGAAAACTCACTACATAAAATACTAAAGAATGCTGTTTAGCTTCTCCCATTACGCCTGCATCTACGTCCCCTCCATCCAACCCTCCCTTCAATTAGACCTACTATTTTCTTGCTTCTGCCACACAGATTCCGTGGGCACTCTTATTCCCTCATGAATTTTAACCCTTGAAATGCCGGACCAATTTTTGCCGACGTTTTACGCGCGTTTTTTGACCACTTGCCATACCACATGCTGTGCACCTATGTTTATCGCTAAATCAAATTGGTTTAACGTTTACCCTGGGTGTGTCGTTTCTATAGTGCTTCCATGTTTCTTTGGGACCTTTTTTGAACTTGAACCAATTATTGCGACCGTTTAGACAAAAATCCCCATAATTTGAGTTTTGAATCCCTTTCATATCCGTATTTTGAAAGTGTATACCTCAATAAGTCTCAAGACTTCGCAATTCTAGGCCTGTGCTTTTGCGCGCCATTCATTTTGGCTTTCCCCAATACGGCAAGTATTTTATAGGGTCTATATTTGAAATGTAACAACGTCTTTGAAAAATCAACGATTGTGTCAACTTTGTAACATTTTCTTCATTGGGCTAGTACGTACGTAGAGGCATGCATCCTTTTGCCCACAGACTTTTAGTTTATTCCGAACTCCCACTGATTCACGACGGAAATGTAATGCCTTGATGGACAGTTAACGATTCGTGCACCCAATACCCGGCTGCTGGTGGAATTCACGGGACAACCACTTGTGTCAATAACCTGCCAAACGTTAATCCCCAATCTCAACGGAACGGTAACAACTCGAAAGAGAAGACGGCAACTACTCTGGCTTAAGCAAGGGAACGTCAGAACCATGGAGACCGCGGCCTTGTCTGCCCGGAGCGTTAGACAGACACGTGGTCACAAAGGCGTGTAATGCCATAGGTGGACACGGAGTAATAACACTGTCCGATCTCTTGAAGCCCTAATGAGGAAACGCCCGATTACACATTAACTGACCAACCAGGTTTTCTTAGAGGTCAGACAGGTGAACGAAAATGAACCGCCGGTCAAATTCATTTCGTCCAAGCCACTCTCTGATCGAGGACAACACACAGCATACACACACATCACGGTGGGAAGGAAGACCTGTTTGACCTCAGTGTATTGGTGCGTTTGTGCGTGCTAACACGCTGCGTGCCGTGCATGTGAAAATTGCACACACAAGAACACGCCCATAAAATTTCTATGGACAGGTTTTTTCTCTAGCTTTTCGTGGCCTCTGAACACGTAGCACACTCATCATTCACAAGTGTCTGACCCAAATCAATCGATTGCACATGTGAAGCTCCAATTGGATTTAATCTCATATCACCTGTTGCGTAACCAAATGCAATGATCCATTCAAGCATTCGACCACATGCAGGTATTCGAAGTAACGGAATAACTGTGAAGTTCTGCTTCTGGGATGGACACTACTTGTTTCTGAGAACATCAGTAGAGTAGGTCAGCTGGTCTATGGATCTGACCAATTCTTCGACGGTTCAGTCAAACTGGCTGAACGTCGGAAATGCTGATCCTCAATTGCAAGCAGCATCCTGCAAAGAAATCATCGACCTTCCGCTCGTATCAGCTTACAATCAAGCATTTTTGGAGACTATCACCGAGGAGGGAAGTGAATTTGAACCATCCGAGGATGGAAGTTTCAGTTGGGGGAACCACGCAGATTCGTATCAAGTCGAGATTCTGTCCAACGATTCGGTCCACAAAAACCAGGGCTTGGGATTGGATCAGCAAATGATCGGAGACTTGGAATGTCCGGTAGACTACATTGATGTGAGTGATATCTGTTTATCATTGCGGGGCCCACTTGGATCAGATCGAATAGCGGGATCTCGTGATATTGAACAATCGTCAACCGATCTTTGCGAGGTGGATCGGAAAACACCACATCCTCAAGAGCAGGTAAATAGAAGAGGTTCTTACGATAGCTCGTCTTCGAATGAGCTGTTTGGTACCTCAGATTATCAGAGGTACGATAATGTTGATCCCAAACAACCAGATGTGAGGCTAGTAAGTGGTAAAACGCATGAGAGAAAGGATTTTCTGAGGACTACTCCAGCTATATGGACAGAACCGAGAAATGAAGAGGTGGAAGATGAAGTACTTGTATTATCAGCAGAGAGCGGGACCAACAGGTTATGCTGGAAGTTTGAAAGTAAAGACGGTTCCCAGAAAGAAAGCCGACCGGTAGTGGGAAACGATAACGGATTTCTATGGCAGAGAAGGTGTGAGGAAATATCAGTGACAGATGGTCAGAAAACAAACGTGCCTCAAACAAAATCTTGTGAGAGCTTGACCAATCACCCTATTCATACACATTTACCATACGGTGGCGACAGACCTCGGTACGAATATCCAACCGACTGTAATCTGTTTGGTCCCCCAACACAGTCTATTCGACATGATGAATCAATTCTAAAGCCTGTATTGGGAAAAGAGAGTCAAGACAAAATGCACGAAACTCCGCCCTCCAGACAAACTAGTTCATCGTTTCTGGTTGACAGTCAAGGTTCAACCACATCAAGTATCTTCCAACCTGTTTCACGCCTGACTGGACAACGAAGTGGATCCGCTGAATGGTCTTGGCAACCACAATTGCAAGGATCGTTCTCACCGCATTTTCCCACTCATTTTACGGCGAACAGTCGGAAGACGGAAAATCGCTGTGGAGAATGGTCACACAATTCCAATTTTCCTGTGATCCAGCCGTGTTCACAAAGATTCCAATCCAGGTTTCAGGGTTCTTCCCTTATCCCGCGCCCACCTCCCTTACCGAAAGCAATCGTAACTAGCCATTTTGCGCCATGCTTTCCGTCGACCAATCCCGTTTTCTCGTGTGACAGGAATAATACTTCGAACAGTATCCTCAACTCTTCACGTATGTTCAATCAAACTCGCCAATTCGGTTCGGAGGCGGAAAAACCAAATTCATCATTGGCCACAATGCGATTTGAACAATCGTCTGCTCAGCTTGCTAATGATGCAGATCGCTTGTGGAGGGGAAAACTGGCTAGTGAGAGTCTGATCAACAAGACTGGTGAGGTCAAGAATGAATTCGATTTTTATTGCAGCTACCCAAGGCAGCACTACTCAAACTTTGAGTTGAATGAAACACGTTCGACAGGCCAGTACTATTCAGGAGTTGACGTCAGTCCAATTGGTTTTTCAAACACCAAGCCAACTGTTCGCATGAGAATGGTTCACCCGTCCTTCGGCCCTCCCAACGGTGTGTATGAGAACGTACAAGTTTCTGAGACAAAACCGGCCATTCACACCAGGGGTGGAATAACGTCAAACTTCTCGCAGAATTCCGGTTTTAAAGCGGGACAGATAGATGTCTCACGTGTGCGCCCGACTCTTAATGGGACCAGTAAAATGAAGGAGAGAATGTCTGGTGTAGAATTTCAAAGTTCAATGTGGATTGCTAACTCAACACCAAGATCGGAGCTGAGCACAAACTCTTCTGAACCGCAAGAAGCTCCAAAAAGCACAGTCCAAGCGGAAAATTTCGACTGTAAAACCGATTCACCTAATGTGTCAGGGCTTTTAAAACCAAGCATATCTAATGGTTTTCGTCCTTTACACCGATCCCCAGCAGTGCTGGGAGTTAGTGAGCTTCTTTCTAAAACAGATGAGGAGTTGTGCAAATTTATGGAAGATGTAAGAATTCCAAATGTTCAAGAACGACCAAGTCCTCAAGGTAGTGAAGCAACGCAAAACCAGATAACATCAATGCCGACAGATCATTCTCCTGCTCGAAGGCGGTTTCATTATATCAACAACCAGAATTCGAAACCAAGCTACTGCGAGACCTTGGGGACGGACAGTGCTAGCGATCAGCTGGACCGGCGAAGTTTCTACGACTACGGATGTGATGATGAGGATGAAGATGTGGAAGATGACGAGGATTTGTTCGGACCGCCTGGTGTGAATGAGCGCCCAGCCACTCGTAAATCGCACCCCATAAATCCGTCCAACCACTCCGCCTTACAAGATAGAACGCATTTGTACAACATGCCATATGAGACTGCCAGTTCGATTTTAGACGACATAATGAAATTGGATATGGACGGTTCCCGTTATGTATGGTCAGATACGTGTCAGTCACCGCACTCTACAAAACAAGACCACACATTTAGCAAGTCCAACAACCATGTGCTTGGACGTGATATATTTGAACCGTGGGATTTACCGTACATTGACAGTGATGCGTTCGCTGGCGAACCATGGGCTGCCACTTATGGATCTGCTTTGGAAACATTTCTACAAAGACCGAAGAAAGCCAGTCTTGATGAAATCACATTGACTTCGAGTAAGTTTGGTTATTGCCTACATTATTGTTGATTAGTAATTTGTGCAAAAAGAAAAAAAGCACACATGTCTTAGAGAAAATTACATTTAAGCACAGCTGGGGTTTCACACAATTAGTTACAACTACGCCACAGACCAGTTATATTCTCACATCTAATTTCACCCAAACTGTAGCTGTTCTCTCTGGTTTAAGTCTATTCTACCGTTCCACCTGCATGCTAAAAACCTGCCGCATGTTCACAAATCGTCGAACGATTCGCTGGTCATCTACCATGTGATGTTCCATTTGGATGTAGGGGTCACAAGGTGGTATATTCGCGCATACAAAAAAGTGTGATTGCCAATTTCATGGTGTTCAACAGTGCAACAAAAAAGCTCCAGCACCAAAGGATGCAGGTGAATCCAACGGATAAATAGACTCCGCAAAAGCAACCTACGATTAAAAGCCTAAAAACATGGCAAAGTGATTTTGTCTTTTATAATTTGCCGCGCATAATGTTATTCTCGATGGGAGTTCAAACACGACTTAATTTTAACTGTTATTTAGTCTAGTATTTACCTAGCTGTGTCTGAATTACAGTACACTGCAATATAGCAACGGGGGAAGCAAATTCCAAAACCGGTTATAATATCAAACGAATTGCGCAAATTTCAAATGGGGTTGAGACAATAATCTTTATACGGCACTCAGTATTTGCACATTGGGATTGAATTTTCGAAAGTTATGATGTGTCCCTGATGAAATAAAGCAATCGGGCAGCTGAGATGAGAGTACCAGCCCAAACTGTGGAGCCCCATTAGGGCATCCCGGGGTTTCAGCGATGCTGGGAAAGTATCCCACAAGGCTTTTTAGCCAGAGGGACGGTTGCTTCAGTGAACAATGAAATTCGGTGAGCTGCATGAATATGAATGTAGATTAGGACGGTTTTTGGTTTGAGCACATACGCAACAAAATGCAACATCTTGGCGTAGAAAGTTTTACTACATCTGTAAAGGTTTCGCAGCTGAGAGTAGTGTGCAGATAATGGGCAGATCTTTATACTGGGTTGTCTTAACGTCAATCTGAGACCTCCACAATGAGAATGAAAAAAGCATATTGCACGTAGAATCAGTGGCAGGGCAAAACAGACAAACAGAATTTGTTCATGCAGTCAAATAGGATGATCTTTGAATGAAACTTTTATGACTCGCTTGGTACATCCATTGCCTGAATATTGAGGAAGCTAATATACACTCATTTGAAAACTAATTTATTTTTTTTTCGAGAGATTCAACTGGTACCCAGCTGAATATCTCGTTTGTAATGTGTTCAGGCTGGGTTCAGCTGGGTTTAGGGTGGGTCTCTCGAAAAGCCAAATTAGTTTGCAAATGAGTGTATATTCGCCAGTTTCGTGCAATTTGGTTTCAAGTAGAACATAAGGTTGACGGGAACCCGGGGACTGTGCCTACCTGATGAGCCTCAAAAAGGGCGAAACCGGTCGTGGGCTGTCCACGGATTTTCAGCAACCTTATGAGTAGTACATTACAATGATAAACACTGTATTTTTCATTCTAAAATATTTGGAGCAAGTAGTATCCAACACAGACGCAGGTTATACACGTTCTTTCGGCTGAGGAAATTCATTTTCGGTAACAATGAAGTGTATCGTTCTCGCGCCAGCACAACACTGTCGTCAGAAATCCTCTTCGTCATACGGTCAATATACATCTCAGTTAAGTTCAGTGGTTTATGTCAGGCCGTCTAGTCTTCGGAATTCTACCTACACAGATTTCAGTCGCAATGGTACATCAAGCTTGCAAACACTTGTTTCAGGTCAGATGATAATTTGTTTGTACCGAGTCCACGGAGTACAAGTTGCACAGATCAATAACTCATATCTGGTCGCAAGCCGTGAAGGTCACAGTGAAATTTTAACGGATCCATTACATAAAATTCAGAAGAGAATGACAGGACACGAAAGACCTAAACGACTCCTTAAAAAGCAGACTTGAACTGATAGGTTGAAAAGACATAACTATCTGCTTCCAGTGTATTGGTTGAGTGAAACACTCTTGAATAACGTTGTACATATTAACCACACTGAATGTTATCCGTTCGGATCTGAACAGTTCAGAGTTCGACTGCCAGTCAGAAGGTTGCGTGCTCATTATATCATAAAGATTCGTGGATACGTAATGCTGAGGAAATCTTCGTACAATGCTTTCTGGCCTTTCAGAATAGGTAGGCTCTGATTACATGACGAAAGCTCCAATCAACTCCTCAAATCTTCCAACAGTCCACATTTATAGATCCAAAAACCCTTGATACTAATTGAATAACATGTATTTGAACAATGCGAGTTAATTTGAGGTGATGGGAAGGCTTTTGATGGTTGGTTGGAAAGTGAGGGGCGGAAAAAGAACTGCACTTTTGCAGCTGAGAGCATTGTGCAATTACTGCACTCCGTCTGAGTACCATAACTGGTTTCGGAAATATTAAGGCCGTTGTGTTTAAGCCGCTGAACATTAGTTCGTTTCGAAAGTAATTTAGCCGTGGCAACAATCTGACTACAGGCCAACGTTTATCGAATAGAAATCTATGCGGAAAACGGGAAAAAAAGATTATTAGTTCGTTTCGAAAGTAATTTAGCCGTGGCAACAATCTGACTACAGGCCAACGTTTATCGAATAGAAATCTATGCGGAAAACGGGAAAAAAAGATTTAAAATGGTAAAAGGTTCGATTCTTTTTTATTTTCAGGTTAGGTACGGCATTCGCACGCTGTGGTTTCTAATGTGAGAAGTTAGATAAGCAAGTCTTGAAGCACGTTTTCAGGTAAATCAAATTAAGCTGTTAAATGAACACCTAGAAGCGTGCCACAAACTTTTGGGATTTTCGAGATCACTTCATTTATGCAAGCACCCAGTACCCTGATATACTACTTTTAGCTTGGTAAAATTTGTTGAGTACATCGCCTAAAATGTTCAGTGAAAAGTGTTTTTACTTTGATCCAGCTTATCTCTCTGCCGCATCGAGTAAATAGAAACACGAGGCTGGATTTTTCCACTGGATAACAGCACAAACTTAGATATGATCATTGTCATCTGGTTGCCTGCCGGCCGACGTTGTTGTGGTTAACAGCCCTATGGGGTCTCTAATGGACAGAGCAAGTTACTAATGTAAAGCAGATACAAAGTCACAAGGAGAAAATTCCATGCAAATCTTGACTCACAGTTCACAATAGGAGATACCGTAGTTCCGTATCCCTTTGAACCACCACACTAAGAAGAGAAGATCTACCTTCCTGGTATTCCAAATCTCCGGTGACCGCAGTATTACTCCACAGGTGTGAATAGATTAGTCCGGTGTTTGTAGCTAAAATTTTTGTTCACGTTTAGAGTTAGTAGCAGCCAATTATAGCCAACCGGCAGTCACAGCAACAGTCACTCAGCGAAAGTATCAAAGTCACGTTGAACCCAAGAGGCGGGCGGTTGCGATTGTATCTAAGTAAAACAAACTTATGTACAGTAATGTGACTGATATTGATAGGAAGAGGGAAGATGATATTGAGCATGAAAAATAGCAGTTAACAAGAGCTACGAAGTCTTGAAACCTGATACACTTTATTCTACTGACAGGTACTGGAAAATATAACTTATACAACTGCAGGTGAAGAATATATACCAACAATCTCATTCACAGAGGGTAACCAGTTTGTTAAGTCAGTGCACTGAATTGTTTCTGGTTCTGTGGGAAAAAAATTTACGGAGCAAAAAGTGTGTAATTGGGTTTGGTCTCCTTCAGAAGGGATAAACCGCTACTTACGGAGCGGTTAGAACACCTACTCATAGTTATCACCTCATCCTCTAGCCATAATTGACAAAATCAAGTGTCAGGTTTACAGTTAGGCTCAGAATGTTTGATCAAAATAAAAATAAAGAAATTCAAATTTCATAAAACTTTCCTGCTTTCCGTAGAATGGCACTGTTTCAAATAAACCAGCACAGTTGGAAAAAGTTTGGAACCGATTCAGAAGTCATCATTTCAGGAGAGCTTGGTAAACAATCGTCAGTTTTTATTTGGGCAACGTTTCGCTTTTGACACAAAAGCTTCTTCAGGCCAAGTGAACAGGTCACCAAATTGGCCAGGTTATAAGACAGACGGGGAACCAATCAGTAAGTCCTCTTCAAACTAGATCAGCGTTTAGTGTCAATTAACGGCCCAAAACCCACCGAATGTTTACCAAGCTCTTCTGAAACCAGCACAGTTCTTCGCTATCCCATGCCCTACATCGTCCGACTTTACAGTGAGACGTGTCGAAAAGAACCGTTAAAAAGGCCCGTGTCTTCCCTGAGAGAACTACGTGTGCAATTTTATGCTCTACATTTGTACATGTTTCGAGAACACAGCTGGACGAGCATGTCTCAACTTCGAATACTAACTAATCTAGAGTGCATGCTTGTCGCGGAGCGCAGGAAATTTTCCGATTACACACAGTCTAGTGACCGAGCTCACACTTTGCTGTTCGTTCTGTCCACCAAAAGTCACTCATTAAGTCTCAGTTGTAGTTGCAAATACGGGCATGATGCCCAGAGGAGTTCGGCTGTTGAAAACCAGCTCAGTGGATTAGGAGCTGATTGAATCTCATGTTGACAAATGCTGATGAAATTTTCTATGCGCATCTAGGCTCAGTGACTAAAATACGCCTTCGTTGCTTCGTCAAGAGCTAACCCAGAAATTGGCCGTTCAACACAAAATAAAATTTAAATATCTATTGGATGCAAGCAGGTCTGTCACAAAAACACATCGTGTTCCATTTCCACCTCACCATAGCTACAGTTTACGAAGATGTGTTCATGCCTGCCTCGAGCTTGTTAGCGGCATTTAGCTGAAGGCTACACTGTTCACTTTGGGACTACTCAGACGGGTTGATTGGTTGGTACTGCTTATTTTGTTCGACGCGATATGCGTGTAAATTGGTTGCAAATTGAATTAGGCCGATGACCAGGCTTAGGTGGAGTGGCTGGAAATCCAGCTTCGGTGTGGGATTTCCA